CACAGTTTATAATAATAAGCATAATACCTGATATAATGCAATACTGATAATGCATATTTACAATATGAATATGTTATGAGTATATGGCATCATAAATTATAGTTCAGTTGTGTATGTATTTTGCATAAAAAATGGTATGTCCCTCTTAGTTTCTTCTGAGAACTACGGTAATACCACCAGTGGTGTTTATGACTTTCCATTGCAAAATAACAGTGATAGTGCATATCTGGGTACCATTCAATATAAATATTAAGTAACGAAAGTGGAAACATTATCCCATGAAACAGCCATCTAAATACTATGCTATGATTATTTATCACAACTGGTGAGATCATTTTGTCATAAGAGCAATTCTGTCATAGGAGTCATGATGTACATGTACTTTATTTCACATTAAATGGAATAATGTATTTGCACTATTCAAAGCACATTTTCTAATAGAAATGCACTAATATCTGCATTCATTGTTCACTGCATCGTCACAATGTGGCTTATTTTGACCACAGACATTCCTCTGCTATTTACGTAAGCCTGTTTGCTATGCAAATACAGAATATGTGGCTTACTTTTAGTTAACATACATACATACATAACATGTGTATGGAATTGTCTTATACTAAAATAAAACAAACTGCTGTCTTTGACAGAAACTTCGAAATTAGTGTAATGGGAACACAATCAATATGCTGAAGTAAAGTTGTACTGAAGTCATAACACCATTGAGAACATTCTACGGAATACTGCATGGGGATAACCAGCATATACAAGTATATCTTATTAAATACACTGCTTGACATACCCTATTTGTGATATTAGTAGATATATTACGTAAATGATGGGCATTTGTGTGGTCAAATTTTTAATGATGCAATTACTGCGGTTTATATGCGAGCAAATACAGTAACATCAAACTGATGTATTTAGCATGTGCTAAGGTCTTGTCAGGTCAGGTCTGATAATGTACGGTTTACAGATAATACAGAAAACTGAATCCATGAGACAGACGTTTGCAAATTTTCCGAGACAAGTGTGAGGAAAAAAAACTACAAAATTCTGTCGTATTGAATATTTGATTTTGGATCATATGACGAAAATTAAATGGTTTAAAATACTGAAATTGTGCGACACATAATAACAGGCCATAATATTAATGTAGTTTCCCCTTGTTCCAAATAACATGGTAACATACACATGTAGGGTTATGGGGAAAAGTGGACACAGTGACAGAAAAAGAATTTAACATTATTTGAGAGGCAAAAAAAAAAACAAAATAATATGGCTCTCTTACTCACAAAGGGATCTCATCTAGCGTTTATGAACAAGGTTTTTTTACCAAATCTTGTGAGCGCGATAATTGCTTTTACTATATTTTCTGTTTTAAAAGTCAAACAAAATAGGGTTCATCACAGCATATTAAAGACTTTATTTATAAGAATAACATGCTGAACGTTGAAGTTCGTATAATATGGAAGAGGTAATCCTTTTGTTTTATTGCTCTCCCCCAATAGAAGCATTGTGACCACCACAATACTACATGTACAACCTTCGTGATCTCTACAAATAGATCTTTGTAGAGTCCTAGATTTGTCAGATCATTTCAAATGTTGGTTGGTGTCTCCAAGCAACAACTTGTCAACTTGTTTCATGCAAGACAATTTTTTGCTATTTTGGGAGTTATGGACAATCACAAAATATTGTTGTAGTGAAGATTCCACTGGGGTCCTTATTTGTGAAATGTTGATAATGCGATCACTCTCAAATATCGCTCTCAAAAATACCTAGTAGCGAAAAGATTATAGTATGGCAGGAAAATGTATTTGTTATTTTAAGAAACCCAAACAAAAATTATTGTAGTTTACCACCATCATGACCCCTTAAGTCTGGCGCCAAGAAATGTAGTGAAATGTTGATAATGCGATCACTCTCAAATATCGCACTCAAAAATACCTAGTGGCGAAAACGATATAGTATGGCAGGAAAAATGTATTTTGTTATTTTAAGAAGCCCAAACAAAAATTATTGTAGTTTTCCACCATCATGACCCCTTAAGTCTGGCGCCAAGAAATGTAGTGAAATGTTGATAATGCGATCACTCTCAAATATCGCACTCAAAAATACCTAGTGGCGAAACGATAATAGTATGGCAGGAAAAATGTATTTTGTTATTTTAAGAAGCCCATACAAAAATTATTGTAGTTTTCCACCATCATGACCCCTTAAGTCTGGCGCCAAGAAATTAAATATTCACCGTATGAAATGTTAAGTTTCAGGAAAGAGAAACTCAACTTATTATTAAAGAATGTGTTGTAATACGCATTGTAGCGACAAGTTTACTGGTACTGAGTAATACAAAGTGTTCATAAGTATACGGTCAGGCAACTTTTGAATTGTTTATAACAACAACGGTGAAAGTTACGTTGTGTGAACAAATAAACTTTTGTAGTACATGGTTTAAATGGCTGTCGAGATGATGTTGTGACTGAGAGAACCACAAGTTGTTGTTTTTTCCCTGAAATAGTGCTCCATTGTCTGACGTCATCTAACTCTCGCATCGTTCATTGCAACAATGGTATTCAGAACAGTGGACGTGAGAAAATTAAACACGTTTTGGGGGATAAAAAACAAGATCTCTGTGGTCATTTGCAATCAAGATCTATTGGTCTAAATCATATACAAACTGATAACTGATAACTTAACTGACAGTTAATTGAATCTTAAATCAGCTAAGGTCTCATCAAAGTTTTAATTAAATGTTTGACATGTATCCTAAGTTGCATAACAGTATATTTATGAACCCTTATACATCTAGCAACAGAAAAGCATACAAAAGTACGTGTACAGTAACAGACCTGACCAGACAAGCAGCTACCATGCGAGTGATGGGGTGCCCCAGTTCCACAGTGTATTACAATCTATGCTAGGCTTATTAGACATGAATTATATACAATATATGATGTTAATATGATATTTAAGACTATTTTTGCTAATACCTGGGGTAATGGACTCCCTAACTCCCATGCTGCGTGTCCAGTCGGCTTCTTGGCTCCCTAGGTAGTTTAAAATTATCTACTATCAGTATGCATACATTGATCATAATATACACTATTTAAAGACATTTGTACACACAGCAAGCATAGTTTAAATAAATAAATAAAATACGCTAATGACAATCACTTAATATACATGCAACTTACGAAGAAGGGAAAGAGAGACTAGGAAAACTAGAACCAGTCTTGTGTTTTCCAATGTAACATTAAATCTAAATCAAGGAATCTACTAAGATATATGCACATTTCAGAGGTACAAGGGGAATAAAATTCACTTGTCCGTTTTAGGATGCACTGACCAGAAAAGCCATCATAAAATATATTTATTTTTTCCATATAAGGAAATAATTTGTCCAAACAAGGTAAAAATTCTTCCATACATGAAACAATTATTCCTAGTAAGTAAGATAATTTGCATGATGTGCCAAGTTATAAACAAAGATTGAGTACACAATTTTCCTTATTGATGCTGAATGCATCAAAAGACGATCTCGCGTTGGTGAGCTCTGACGATAGACCCCATATAATGGCCGGTGCATTAAACAGTACAAACATCTAGTCATACCAACAGCACAAAATCGACCAAAGCAGTAATTCAAAGCAGTTTTATGCTGAAGCATGTTCTCTACTGTGAAGACTACTCAAAAAATTATATTGTCGGCAGAATTTTATTTCAAGCCCTCAACATGTAGAGCAATGTGTGCCATGGCTATGGTATTTGCAAGATATTAGTTTTGAAGAACATTACCAAGTAGTTCTGTAAATTCTGTTTTGATTCAGTTTTTAACATCTTGGGATGCTGTCAAGTCAATGAATCGCATGTGTGATTCTTGGTGATTGAATTTACAAAGTCAATATTCGATGTGAAATTCGATTTTCATTAAGATTAATCTGAGATGAACACCAGAATTTCAAGTTGTATAACCATTAGGTCCCTAGCTATTGAATTCATAGGAAAAGTATTTCACTTCTGTTATCACCGTGTGCAAGTGAACATTGGTACATTATGTACATCATAAGTTAGTTGTGTGCAGCATCGCCCAAAATAGAATTCAAGCAGCAATGCATGATGGGATTTATTGTAATGAAGACAAGTAATATCTTATTGGAGATATGGTGCAAAGCATCAGGTTTTGATCAGTATGACTTGCGAACACTAAAACTTTCATGGCCATGTTACTCTCAATTCTAAGGGCTTTCAACAAGTTTTGCCGACAACTTTATTAGTGATTAACTGAGCATTGTAAAGCCTTATACAAATGCTTTCTTTCTTTATTTAAAATACTAGAAATGTGCATAGTCAATAAATTACACTCAAATTGCAGCAGGAGTTATTCAATTATACAACTTGATCTAACTATGATACAGATAACGGGTTCTATTTTGTTCTCAGGATTGTACGTAAATCTGACACATTATACACATAAAGATACATTGTATCTAGATCCAATCGGAGAGGGTGTTGCTAAAACAGACTAGATAATCCATTCATGTGCTTTGTAATGCAGATCCTGAATAGGGGGGTCGATCAAACATTATTGAAACGCAATGCCAAAATGTCTTGATTTTTAGTTCATCTGTATTGTTTACTTGTTTTTGTACAACCATATTTATTATGCATTAATAAATTCAGTTACTGAGTTAGGAAATAGAGCAGATCTTATCAGTTTAAACTAGATTGCTTACAGAAGCGACACAGTGATACTCACCATAGGCAGTCCTACTAGCCATTGTACTCATATTACTCATAGTAATAGGGTTGACTGGCATATTACTACCGCTGCCATCGCTACCACGGCGCCCTCTATTATTCAGAGCTGGAAAGTCGTTCAGATCCAAAGTCGGAGCTGAATCAGACACTGAAATTTATGTATAAAAAAAGACGGATTACAATAGTGGTTATACAAATTATGGCATGCAAATATCGGTACATGTAGTTGCATCAACTGAACCCTTGAACCCAAATAAATGAATGGAAATATTACTGCGCAATAGAGGATGGTACTTTGTACTGCCTTTGTGTATACCCTTCTGTATTTTTATGATAAACTTACAAAGTATTATTATACATCTTTTTCATGCTTTTAGTAATAATTTAATGAGAAATGGCAACAAAAAACATTTGTGCTTGAGTAAGGGACGACGTCAAAAGATCGATGTCGGATAAAAAACTTATTTCCTTTAGTTTGGGAGTGGGGGTTTTGACCTCAAAAAGTTTCCATCCTACAAAAACGATTTTATTTTTTAATGAAGTCAAAAAAATCTAGGAGTATTTGTAGTTCGTTTTTTTTTTATCCAATCATTGACAGAAATAACCGAAAAGGGAAAAACAACAGAAAAATGGTTTGGTTCGAATGTAAATCTGTGCGTCAAATGAGGTGCATTTGTAAAATCTTTTTACACCCACCCTGAT